ATTCAGATGTATTGTCCCCGCGCGGATTGTGTGATCATCCTTGAAATAGCACAAACGAAATCAAGCAAAGCGACGTGTGAAATAAATAAATGGATGCCTTGACGAGCCCATGCGAATGAACTCAGTTAACAAGACACCATAGCACTATTATTTGATAGCGGCTCTCTGCAGATGCGTATCACAATCTCAACACTCCAGTCAGTATGCAAATTCACATCACGCAGCCGCACTGAACGTCACATTCATTCGAAGCCGTCATTCGAGGGATGAACCACCCATTGTTGAACCTGCTGCGGACATCCAGTATGCTGGAACGTTACCACGGCACCGCACTGGTTCCGAATATCACATTCAGGGTCCGAAGAACGCTGATTGGTCGGCGATTTCTTGCCTCAAAAAGGGTACATGGCGCCGTCGGCCCGGGCTCGTCAAGCACCACACCTTGCGACGCTTCTGAAGCGAGCCTCCGCAGCGGACCAAGCCTAGCCTCATCTCCTGTTGGGCGTCTGGCTCCAGGACGTCCAGGACGTCTGGCTGGGCGCTTGGGCCGCCCCGGCTCGTGTCCGCCTCAGGGCGATACAAGTCGACAGCCGGCGGTCGGTTGACGTGTGGTCGCCCGCTCAGTCGGCAGCCTCAGCGGCCCTCCGCCACAGTCGCCAGGCGCCGAGCCAGCAGAGCAGCGAGGTCAGCAGCGTCGGCGCCGGCCCGCCCAGGGCGTTCGCCGCCCGGCCTGCAACAGCGGGACGGCGCCGCTCGCTCACCGCGCTCTGGGCGCGCCTCGGGGGCGTCCGTCCGCCAGCGACCAGAGGCTGCACGCTGACACTGCGACCTGGTCACGAGGGGTCGGCTGAAGGCAGTCTTTCGATCGGTGGCAGTGGTGCTTCTAGCCCGGACACGCCTGATTAAAGTCGTGGATACTGGAAACACCAAGAAGCTTTGTGGAGGTAAATATCTAACGCCGACTAGTTGCTATTAGCCGTGTTTCCATTAATTGACGGTTGAGAATTGCATGTAGTCAATGGGTGTGGAAGGGCCACACCCATGTCACGTACCGACTAACTGGTACAATTCATTCGAACAAATTGCACCTATGCTTGGCGCTCATCAGTCAGACGATAAGTTGCGCGATAGTCTGAGTTAATTCAATTTGTGGGCCAAGCACATCAACAATTAATTGAAACCTCACAAGTAAAACCACCAGCTGAAGCTCTCGCAACAGCCAGACCTAAATGACCAGATCTCATTTGAATACGGGAATCCGGCAAGTAGTCGCTGTGGGGGTACCTATTACACGGGATTATTGAACGCACCGATCTTAAACGTACGCGGGTGTGGCCCTGATACCTGGGGGTGAGGGCAGCAATGCTATTTAGGCCTCGGCTTTAACAGTCTCACGGAACTGGCGATCAAGCAGTATCGAATGCCTCCTGCAAAACTAATTACAAAGTTAATAAGAGATGTCTACCTGCGGCTGAAGGTTTGAATCCACCTGAAACAAACAACAGTGATCGATCACCCACTCGTAAGCTATTTCAGCGGCCCATAACAAATGTCAGACCACGATAACAGGGAAACAAACACTCAGTCCTGCACACAAGTATGACAACCGGCAATTAACCAATGCAATTCTGAATTTCAGGGATGGGGCTCGTTAAAAATATATGTTCGGAAGTTCCAGACGTGTTTCCAAAGTCAAGCCCACTCAGGTCCGACGCTGCCAATGAAGGCATCAGTTGTGCGCAGCCTTCATCATAATTATTTACCCGATGCAATACGTAATTCCAGGATATGGCCTCAAAGCGTTTGGTATCGCTGCAGCACATTCTGGTGCGTTTGATGTACTCCATTTCGTGGCCTAAAGTGCTGGTCGTTCAGCTACCGACCGGATATATAACTGAGAAGTGTCTTTCTCTTTGAAAATGGAATAATTATAGACGAACGCGTCAAGCCACCAATATGCTAGCTGCCGCCGCAGGTTCCAATTACGTGAGCCGGCCGTCACTGTGAACTGCGTCTGACCAGCCGGTGGCGTCCGGTGACATTTGTGACCTCAGTCCCAAACCGTGGCCAGCTGGCCAGTGGACGAGGTGCGACCGCTCTAAGCCAGTGACCACTGGCAGGTGCGGTGCTCTGAGCTAGTGGCCGGTGGCAGGAGCGACCGCTCTGAGCTAGTGACCGATGGCAGGAGCGGCCGCTCTGAGCTAGTGACCGATGGCAGGCGTGGCTGCTCCGGGCCGGTGGTCGGTGGCAGGTGCGGCCACTCTGAGCCAGTGGCCGATAGCAGGCGTGGCCGCTCTGAGCCGGTGGCCGGCGGTGGGGCTGTCGCCGCCGACGCTGCAGAGTGTCCTCGCTCCCGGGTGTCGCGGCCGGAGGCTGGGCTTATTGCAAAAAGTCCCGCGGCGCCGGCGGTATCCATCGGCGGGGACCGCTGGTGCCGACAGCACCGATGTGACGCCTGGCGCTGTCCGGGCGTCGACAGTCAGGCTGTCTCCCGACCACGGGTCATGCACAGTGACCTCCTGCCACAGCAACCCAACGAGAAAAAAACGCCAACGCCATAACGCCAATGCCATAACGCCATTATCATTAGCTGATCGAGCTGTACGGCACACGAACACCTGAGGGTGCGTGTGGTGTGTGTTTTCGCGCACGGGCAGCCTGGAGCGGGCATTGCTGCATCGCGCAACCCTGCAAAGCCTCCGAGGTAGCGGTTTTCCAGGGAAAATCACTGCCCTCTTAACAGACGTAAGATTCTTTGCAACAACAAAGTGCACCGTCCGCGGAAAATTTCCCGTGCAAACTGGGTCAGCACAAGACGTAATCACCTGCCGGTGGTCTCGGGAGAGCAATATTCACCGGAGCTGACGGTGGCCTGGCTGGGAGATTGAGTTCCCCGTGGGAGCACCCGTCGCCCTCCCCAATCGATGGGGGTGTAATCGAGGAGCGGCGAATTCATTAGTTATTGAGCAGCCGAGTCTCCTCGTGTGCAGCCGGTCGGCATGGTAAACAGGGCCCGGTACAGCCGGTCGGCGGGGTAAGCAGGGCCCGGTACAGCCGGTCGGCGTTGTGGACAGGTTCCGGTACAGTCGGTCGGTGTGGTAAACGGGGTCCGGTACAGCCGGTGGGCGCGGTAAACAGGGCCCGGTACAGCCGGTCGACGGGGCAAACAGGGCCCGGTACAGCCGGTCGGCATGGTAAACAGGCCCGGTACAGCCGGTCGGCGGGGTAAACAGGGCCCGGTACAGCCGGTCGGTGGGGCAAACAGGGCCCGGTACAGCCGGTCGGCATGGTAAACAGGCCCGGTACAGCCGGTCGGCGGGGTAAACAGGGCCCGGTATGGTCGGTCGGTGGGGTAGACAGGGTCCGGTACAGTCGGTCGGTGTAGTAGACAGGGTACGGTACAGTCGGTCGGTGTAGTAGACAGGGTACGGTACAGTCGGTCGGTGTAGTAGACAGGGTCCGGTACAGCCGGTCGGCGTGGTAGACAGGGCCCGGTACAGTCGGTTAGCGGGGCAGACAGGTCCCGGTACAGTCGGTCGGCGTGGTAGACAGGGCCTGACGCAGTCGGTCGGCGTGGTAAACAGGGCCCGGTACAGTCGGTCGGTGTGGTAGACAGGGCCCGGTACAGTCGATTAGTGGGATAGACAGGGCCCGGTACAGTCGGTCGGCGTGGTAAACAGGGCCCGGTGCGGTCGGTCGGCGGGGTAGACAGGTCCCGGTGCAGTCGGTCGGCGGGGTAGACAGGGCCTGGTACAGTCGGTTGTCGGGGCAGACAGGGCCCGGCACAGTCGGTCGGTGGGGTAGACAGGGTCCGGTACAGTCGGTTAGCGGGGTAGACAGGGCCGGGTACAGCCGGTCGGTGCGTTAAACGGGGCCCGGTACAGTCGGTCGGCGGGGTAGACAGGGCCCGGTACAGCCGGTCGGCGTGGTAAACAGGGCCCGGTACGGTCGGTTGGCGGGGTAGACAGGTCGCGGCGCAGTCTGTCGGCGTGGTAGACAGGGCCTGGAACAGTCGGTCGGCGGGGCAAACAAGGCCCGGTACAGCCGGTCGGCGTGGTAGACAGGTCCCGGTGCAGTCGGTCGGCGGGGTAAACAGGGCCCAGTACAGTCGGTCGGCGTGGTCAACAGGGCCCGGTACAGTCGGTCGGCGGGGTAGACAGGTCCCGGTGCAGTCGGTCGGTGGGGTAGAAAGGGTCCGGTACATTTGGTTGGTGCGGTAATCAGGGCCGGTACGGCAGGCAGCGGCCCATCCGCACGAGAGACCTTTGGTCGGAGTTCCCAAATAGCGCCGAGTAAAGACAGGGAGCAGCCCACAAGAGAGGATCTCGAGATGGGGCTCTCAAACAGCGCCGAGCAAAGACAGGCAACAGTCTGTACGAGATGGTGGTTCCAAACAGCATCGGATACGGCGGGGACTAGCGGGCATGCGGAGCCTCCAGGTGGAGCTAACAGACGCCGCTGTATAACGGAGGTCACTACAAAGGCCGCCTAGGCCGGGTCACCTCGGGCTGACTCTCAGAAATCCGACCGAACGCCAGACTCAGCGCTCAGGCTGCAGAACCGCACAGCCAAAGGCTCGACGCACTCTGAACGCTCCCTTATAACGGAGAGCTCTACATGATGCAGTCCACTCTGGTATCTCACTGCTGGGTACACTGCAAACGCTCCCTTATTACGGAGAGCTCTACATGATGCAGTCCACTCTGGTATCTCACTGATGGGTACACTGCAAACGCTCCCTTATTACGGAGAGCTATACATGATGCAGTCCACTCTGGTATCTCACTGATGGGTACACTGCAAACGCTCCCTTATTACGGAAAGCTCTACATGATGCAGTCCACTCTGGTATCTCACTGCTGGGTACGCTGCAAACGCTCCCTTATTACGGAGAACTCTACATGATGCAGTCCACTCTGGTATCTCGCTGCTGGATACACTGCGAACGCTCCCTTATTACGGAGAGCTCCGCATGATGCAGTCCATTCTGGTATCTCGCTGCTGGATACACTGCGAACGCCCCCTTACTACGGAGAGCTCCACAGAACGCAGCCCACGCTGGCATCTCGTAGCTGGGGATGCGGTCTCTATGCGCGACCAGCGACGGCGGGCGGACAGACAGAGCCAACCACAGACGTAAACACAGATCCACGCGGAAAACACTAGGGGCAGTGTCAAAAGAGTCTTTGTCCACAGAGCGGCCGACGGGGCGGCCCACTCCTTTGTTTCGGCGACTGGTCATAAGCTGCCGTTATGAAGGGCATCGATCCAGATTACACGGTCTGGCGCGCGGCAACTGTAGCGCCGGCCATCGGCGGGCTGATGATGTAACGCCCCCGCCATAATGACGGCGACGCCGCCATAAAGACGCCGCAGTGCCGATGCATCGCCGGAGTCTGCCGCTCTCCCTGTTCCGCTAACAAGCAGTATCGACAGGAAGTCGTCGTCAAATCTTCACCGCGCGCTCGTAAAGTTCCGTCAAACAGCATCCAAGTGTCTGACTTTTTTTGTCAATCGCGGTCCGGTCCATCAGCGGTCGGTCGACGGCCCCGTCGAAGCCGACAGGCGGGCGGAGCCGCTTGCAACAGTACACAGGCCTGCACCGGCGCTGAGGGGCGTTAGCGCTAGTTTTAGTGCTTCAGATCCGTTTACTAGACGGCCCGCCCGGACGGCTGCACCTGCCAAGTGCCAAGTTCTGTCGGCCTGTCGCGTCCAAAGTACGACTGGCAGACGGTGAAAAGAAGAGACTGCACGCAACCGTAGAGGCGCACCCGGGCCGCGTTGTCCGCGGCGCACCCGAGCCGCGCTGTCCGTGGCGCATCCGGGCCGCGCTGTCCGCGGCGCACCCGGGCCGCGCTGGTCAGTGGCGACCGGGCCGAGCGTCCGTGTCGCACCCGGATGCCGCGTCCGTGTCGCACCGGGCAGCCGCGCTGTCCGTGTCGCACCCGGGCCGCGCTGTCCGTGGCGCACCCGAGCCGCGCTGTCCGTGGCGCACCCGGGCCGCGCCGTCCGTCGCATCGTCGCTCACAGTATTTGTGCGAACATCAGAAGACGTGACGTGGTGACCTTTGCGAAGAGATGTGGTATTCCTGTTTGGATGGTGACGTCAACAAGCTAGACGACATATTTTCATAACAGACAGTTGCTCAACTGCCCTCACTTCGGTTATCGCATCCACAAAGATGTTTTAGCTGACACGGCTATAACTACTGTGGGTGACGGGTGGCCTGGCACTGGCCCGTGTTCAGCATGGTCCGCTCACGGGGCTGCAGCTGCTCGGCATCTCAGGGGATCGCTGCTCGCTATGACTTGCTGCATGTGGTGCTGGGCGAAGCGCCCATCGAACCCAGCAACCCAGGGGGTTTCCGTCTGCGGGACCTCCGGGACGCCACACTGCCCGACTGCGAGCGTCAGGGATCTGGGACCAGGCGCTGTGAGGTGACGACGGATCCAGCAGCGACTGGCGTTAGCACACTTACAGCCGTGACTGACGTCAGTAAACTGACTGATCCCCACGTGACTGACGTCAGGGGATTAAGTGATCCACCCATGACTGATGTCGGCATACTGACCGATCCCCCGGGACTGACGTCAGTAGACTGGCCGATCCACCCATGACTGACGTCAATATATTAAATGATCCACCAATGACTGACGTCAGTAGGCTGACCGGTCCACCCGGGACTAACGTCAGTGGACTGACTGATCCACCCGTCACTGACGTCAGCAGACTGGCCGATCCACCCGAGACTGACGTCAGTAGACTGACCGATCCACCCGTGACTGACGTCAGCAGACTGACCGATCCATCCGTGACTGACGTCAGCAGACTGACCGATCCACCCGTGACTGACGTCAGTGGACTAACCGATCCAGTCGTGACCGACGTCAGCAGACTGACCCAGCGGAGCGTGACTGATGCCGGCAGACGGGCGGCAATCGAGCGTGAGCGGGCGTGGTCGGCCGCGAAGACGAGGCGGCCAGCCGCACATGGGGCCGGCGCCGCCCGGGCGCCGACGATGGAGGGAGCAGGGTGGCCCGCTCACCACCACAGTGTGGGAGAACGGCAGAGCACGGCTGGGACCTGGTTCTTGGGGTACGTTCTCCTGCTTCGACATATTTTTTGTGATCGATGCGTGTCAGCTTTTGTTTTCCCGTGGCTTAGTTGGTTCGAAAGCTGGACATCGGACGACTCGGGTGGCATCAGGTATGTTTGCATTCCAAAAATGCACTCAGTTATTTGGTTTTATAACACAGTCAACTGGTAAGAGGTTAGAGAGCATAGGACGTCGGCAGAGGGCGCCTGTATATTGCCTGACATTATTGGAAGAGAATATACTTTGGCCAAAATTGTCGTTTGAACTGCAATGGCTCGGGTGGGAGAGGGATGAAAACATCGCCCTCATAACAAGCTGTTGTTAGGAAGAGCTATCATACGAAAGTCATTTATTCACAACATTCCACCAAGTTTCCTTGTGCAAAAATAGTCAAAACGCTATCTGAAAAGCCTCGTTTCTTTTAACACATCGCTGTAGGCTAGTCATGAGCATTTCTATAGTTCTTGTCACCATTAAAATCAGCGCACTTCCAGCAGATTAGCTCCTTTTGAAAGCCGCCTGTTTTGAAATTCAAACACACGTACGGATCATGTGAGCAGAACGCATGCACAGTTGTAACAGAGCGGTATGAAGTACATGAGCTGTTGCAGCCATGCATGGGGCTCGGCCTTGCATCTCCTGAGAGTGCGGTAGATCACCCCAGAGTAACCATGCACGTTGTTAGTGTGGGGATTGTGCACTAGTGGAGGTGGTGCGCGTGGCACCGGCTATTGTACACAGGTGCATCAATTTGCATTCCTTTTCGAGGCCTTAGATCCCCTCAATGTTGATTTGGGCCCCTAATGCACGTGGTGTTATACAGGTGTGTAAATTTGCCTTACTTTTTTACGGACTTCGGCGCCCTCAATGTTGATTTGGGCCTCTAATTCTGGATTGGGCATTAACACCTTTGCTGGAAACTTTTCAGTCACAAATGCTTCTACTCACGCAAAATTTACGTTCTTTGTGCATGATTTAATGGTCATGACTATCATGCTGTGAAAACAAGTACTTTTTGGTAAATTACACCGAATGAAAATCAAAGCTGCCGTTCGTAGAAATACAGTAGACTAATTCCTTTCCGAAACACACCTTTGGCGTTGAATTGTTCGTCAGGCCATCGGCTTACCTCCTCCCCCTGCATAAAAAATGGTGTTCTTGGTTTTGTACGCATTGTAATTTATAGTCCATGACGTGTCTGTTTTTCGTGCACATGAAGTGCTGTGATTTACAATTATGTTTGTAATAACACGGCATTAATCAGACTAGCTTATCTCTCATTTTGGAAACAATACATCTGTCGGTGACTCGTAAGGATGGAATGGCAGGGGCTTTGTAAATAGCTCAGCACGAGTGGCACATGCATACCTTTTGCCGAGACAGCTGCCTCTGGCGGCCCCATGTGATCAGCCCCTGAAAATATGGGGCTGGATAAAGGGATTCCAGTAAAGCAAGCCTGGGTACATCAGCAAACTTACATGAATAGTAACAAATTGTGACTACCAAGACAGAATATCATCCAGGGTGAGTTAAGTCAGCGCCTTGCGAAACATATTAACGCCTGCAAATGCTAGCGAAAGTGAGTCTGCATTGCAACCAGATTTCCTGCATATCTCATTTATTGCGAACGGTTTTGGGCTTAAATTTGGATCCACTACAAGTGTAAGTTTGTGGCTTGAGTCAGCAGATGCAGCCCTACCTGACGCCGGCGTCGATCGACGTACCGGGGTAGGTGATTTGGTGCACTTCTTGGTGGTCTGTGTCCGGTATGCTCATGCTGCAGACGAAGAGGGTCTGGTCGTCCAGAAACTCGTCCCGGGTCAGCCAAAAGGCGGTCACCACATACAGACCGTCCCGCCAGGACACGTACTTCTGGAGCGCCTCAATTGGCACCCTGATGAGCAGAGCAGTTTGCGGTCAATGCGCCTGAATGCGTTCACTTCCAAGGTGATAGAAGATTTGCCATGGCATTCCGATTAGGGATCAAAATGATCAAACTTTGGTTCGAGAGCGCTTGTTATTGGTTCACACCACCTAGCTGATATCACTTCAAGCTTAAGTATGCATGTAGTCAACTAGCCATATCGAGCCAAACTGAGGCATGTGGTCGTTTCGTAACACTGAACGGCAGAGCGAGCATTCCTCTGTATTTCTGTCTGACTGAAAAGTCCGAACAAAAATGCCGGTCGAGCTTCATCTGCACCACTTGGCTGATAAATTTGGAATACAACTAACGATTTTTATATTGTGTCCAGAGCCGAAAGTCGTCATCCAAGTCATTTGCATGTTTGCTTTTCTGGGAGCAACGGTGGCAGCTGGCGTGGGCCTGATCCGTCGTTGGGTGAAGTCGACGCGCTGCTACAAGACGCCTTCTCGCGCGTTTGCTCTCGGACGTCAGTGGCCCGCTGCGAGCGCCCAGTGTCGGCGTGGCGCCATCACAAAGGCATTAAAGCGCAGCTAGCCAACGGTAAATCACTCCGTTATCACTCAGCGAGTGGGATGATTTACTGTGCGGCCCCAGTGGCCTCATCAGACAGCGGAGTCGGCCGCGCGCCATCAGACAAAGTGGCGCCATCAGAGAGCAGCCACCACATCAGACAAAGTGGCGCCATCAGACAGCAGCCGCCACATCAGACAAAGTGGCGCCATCAGAGAGGATCCACCACATCACACAAAGTAGGCGCCATCAGGGAAAAGCCACCACATCAGACAAAGTGGCGCCATCAGACAGTAACGCGTGGGGAGCGTCATCAGACGTAGGCTACTAGACTGGGCGTCATCAGATTTAGGTACCACACTAGGCGGCATCAAGCGTGGGTACCAGACCGCAAGCCATGAGATGAAGGTACTTTACCGAGCTTCATCTGACGTAGGGCCACGACCAAGCGTCATCAGACGCTGGCATCAATTGTCAGACAGCGTTACCGAGTCGGGCGCCATCAGACATGGTACCAAGTCCGCGCCCTCAGAACGGGTGCCGGGTCGGCGCCATCAGGCATGGCACCGGGCTGGGCGTCATTAGACGGCGCCAGCTGCCGGCCATCGGCCGTTGCGGCGGAGGGCTTACAAGGAGCGCGTGTTAGGTCCGCGGTAGAGCTGCACGTGCGGCTCCGGGTACACGCCCTCCATGTGGCACGTGACGTTAACCATGTCGACCCCGTGCCGCGTGTAGAACAGAGTCATCCGCTGCGGAGGAGCTGCGAACATACGGAGCGTGGCGTCAGCTGGCTGAGTCAACAACGGGGTGTCGGGCGTGGCACAATAACAGGGACCTGATAGGAGAGCGGGCGTGGAGACGACAGGGCGGGAAGGCAGACCAGGGAGGTGAGGGGAGCGATAAAGGAAGAGAGGGGAGGGAGGAAGAAGAAAAGTAAGAAGAAGAATCCTATTTTTCTTCAGTGAAAGAGGGAGAAAGAGATGGGGCGAGGGAGAGTTAGGGAGGGGAAGGAGAAAGAAGCGAAAGCGGAAGAAAGCAGAAGGAAAGAGAGAGAGAGAGAGAGGGAGGGAGAGAGGGGAGCACAAACAGGATATAATCATTAGGTACCAAATCCACACGCCTTTGGCTATGTTATTGCATATTGTGATGTAGCGTTCGCACTCGAAGCAGCCATATTGTGAACACTGAACGAGATCCATGACGGTGTTGAGGAAAGGTCAGAAAGACAGGTGGAGAATGTCAAAGGACTGTACAGCCTGTGACTTAACACAGGGTGCACAGAACATGCAGGGACCTACGCGGGCAGCATACTGAGAACCTTCACGTTATCCTGTCGGCTTAGCTTACATGGTAAACAGCACGGAAATCGAGCTCTGAGTGTTGCCAGTTCATGGCGCGCGCGTACCGTACACGATGAGCCTCTGGCGCAGCAGCTTGCTGTCGAGCGCCGAAGTGGCCCGGCAGAGGTACTCGCCGCTCAGGTTCACCGTGGGCCGCAGGATCTGCAGCGCCCGGTAGCGCTCGTTGGTGTCCTCCGACGCCTGGTACTGCAGGTTGACGTGGTGCTTGAGCGGACCGAGCGCCTGGGGCGCCATGTCGTGAATCCACTGGTACACCTGTGTGTGGCCCGACCGGATGTGGAACCACTTGACGTGGAACAGCACGTCACTCTCGGCCAGCGTGTAATTACAGTCGAGCACCACCGACTTGTTGGTGCCGTCCCGCACCACCACGGGCGCCTCCTGCTGCGCCAGGTGCGACGAGCCTCCCGCTGCCGACAAAGGGGAGGTCATGTCAGCGGGCGGACAAGCATAGAAGGCTAGCACGACAGGCCGAGTCAGCAGAGTAAGTTGGCAGGGCAGGCCTCCTCAGACGGCTTGGTCGGCGGGATACGTTGGCAACGAGGTCATCGGGACAGGGCGTGTCGGCAGTGGGGTCACCAGGGCGTGGCGTGTCGGCAGTGAGGTCATCAGGTCAGGGCGTGTCGGCGGGCCAGGTTATTAAGGGTAGCAAGATCCTAATAGCGCAGCTGGGAAGGCCAGCTGGGCAGGGGTCAGCACGGATGCCACGCACACCAGATGTCAGTAGGGCAGGACATGGCGATGGACCAGACAGTGAAAGGGACTGCGGACACTGGAGAAGCATGACGACATTGGACCGATCTCGTTGTTACTTTGCGAAATGCACTGTGGCAGCGACAGTGCAGTGTAACTAAAATGAGACGTTGGCTCTCTGTCTCGTTCTCTGGAAAACAAATACAACTAAGAGCGTACAGACGGTGGGCGCAAACACTCTGATGTTTGTTTTTTGTTTTTGGTCCCATGTGCCCCTGTGTGTGCATGTCGTAAGTATAGCCCCGCATGTGAGAAATGGCTGGCAACAATGCATGGAGATCGTGATACTCAATATGCAATAAACACGGCATGGAAACATTAAGGAATTTGTAATGCACTTCGGAAGTGGGTGATGAAGTATGCTTTGAGTGCAAAAGCTGGTCGATAAGCGCTCCCAGTCGCAATAAGTCATGGAGACCGCTGAATAATTTGTGCCGCGGAACAACTGTGCGGCAGTTTACAGTAGTGGGGGATGGAGCTGAGACAGCTTTACTTTGAAAACCTCTTTTGGCTTTAAAAAAGCATCTGCGCTTAACAGGGCAGCAGTCTGCTCTGTACGATTCCGCCGGAAATATTGTCAGTATGACATTTTTGCGGCGCGGGACGGGCGAGGCGACAACATCGTGATTATAACTGTGCAGATGATAACGAAACATAATAGATTGGTACTATAGTTATGTATAATCATATGTAGTTAGTGTAGTCCATTCTCCGTGTTCCGTCAGTATAGTCTATCTCCGTGTTCCGTCAGTATAGCCCGTTTCCACTGATCTAAGCCATACACCTCCACCCTGTCGGGAGAAGGGGCCTGGACCAGCGCCATATTGCCGTCACATTTATCAAGCCCGCCTGGCTGACCTAATCAGAGGCGTCTGTTCAGTGACAGCGCCGGCTCCGCCTACCCGCCGGTCCGGAAGAGCTCGAGAGAGGCCGCCCCTGCCCCGCACATCTGTGTCCAGAGGGAGGTCAGACGCTGTCCCGCCCTCACGTGACGGGGAGGGGTCAGACGCTGCGCGGCACAGATGATACAGGGAACGATCGGACAGTGTCCTCCACAGATGCGGCGGACTAGAGTCAGACGCCGCTTTGCCCTGCCGTGACATGGAGCGTTCACGTCATCACGTCATCACGTCATCCCGTCACGCACGGACCCGAGAGGGAGAAATCAGACACTTCCCCTGACAACCGTGACGGAGAGGGACCAGGCTTTACCCTGCACAGATGCGAGGTGAGAGGCACACGACATGCAGTACAGATATATGGAGAAGCGGCGTGGAGTAGTCAGACAGTAGGAGCAGGGCGGCGATAGTGTGGTGCTTGACGCGTCTGCACTAGCCACCGCGCGCCTGGGAAACCAGAGGAACGAACTTCGATTCCCCACGGTGCCCGCCCTTCCTTGACGGTGAGAAGCAGACGCCGCCATATGGCCTCAGCAGCTGAGCGCGTCATCAAGCGCCCCAATCACACACCGTCCTGCACAGATGTGATAGCAGCGGGTCAAACGGTGCCCAGCGCCGACACAGCAGACTGGGACCAAGTCTTCACGTGCCGTACAGCTTGACGCATGCGCATACTTTGACTCATGACATATATGTGTGCTTCTATTTATTTTTGACTATTCTTGAGCCATTCATGCTGACAGGGTGTAAGCGCGTCAATGGCCAGACGAAACTTAAAGCCTGCTGCATACGTCTCATAGCGTCCCGACATTGCGCAATGATGTCAAGCAAGCCATAAACCACCGTTTCAAAGGCTAACACGGCTACACTTATCAATCATTTCATGCCAGAATATTTATCACCACGCGGGTATGTTAAGCAGAACCAGCTTTCGTTTCCCAGGCGCTGCATTTCCTCGTGTAATTGGCTTCCTTTTGACGTCCGCAAATGAGCTCAGGATCTTTCACAAGCGCTTTAACTGGCAATAAAGCTTACGGGGACAGCAAAGCGGATCTGGAGATTGCGCTTTGAGGAGTGGTCATTAAGCCGACGCTGCTCAATGGAGGAGGCTCAAGGCACGTGCCGCCATGAACGGTGCTGACAGGGCACCGTGGGAAATTACCGCCTCGAGCGGGCGGCGGGCCGCCGCGTGATGAAGTGGGCACTGTGTTACAGCAAGCAGCCTATCTTCCCCGTCAGACATAGTTTAACTCGTTGGGAAGACAAAGTAATGAGATTAGTAGTTCGACCAGCACGCTTTTTTTCTTAAACTCCTTGCGAACTCCTTGCGAAAAATTGCCGGTTAGCTGCGATACTTCAATAGCAAAGGAATTAAACATCGTGAAAGGCAAGAGGTTTAAAGCGCTGATCCTTGACTGGGTCTTAGCTGAGCCTCTCGCCATCTCAGCTGAGCTCCTCCGTTTTAGCTGAGTCCCCACCCCCTCCCTGTCTCAGCTCGCCCCTCCTCCGTTTCAGCTGAGCACCTCCCCTTGTCAGCTGAGCACCTTACCCCGTCTCAGCTGAGCCCCTCCCCGTCTCAGCTGAGCCCCTTGTTTCAGCTGAGCCCCTCCCTTGTCTCAGCTGAGCCACTTCCCCGTATCCGCTGAGCCCATTACTCCGTCTCAGGTGAGCCCCATTCCCCCGTATCAGCCAAGCCTCAATCCCGTCCCAGCTGAGCCCCCAGCCCCCATTGCACGGAGAGTCAGCGACTAGTTCAGGAGCAAGCCATCCACATTTTTGCGTTCCGCGAGGTGATTTAATGGCCCCTGCCTACGCGCCGTGTCACATGATTAATGCAGTACCCACAACCTCGATTCCGCATTCCCACTTCACGTAGGACATGTAAAGATACAAAGATATCCGATTTAATCTTGACCTGGCAATATTTGATGGGAAGACAATGTCCGTATTTAACAATAAAAGCTCAGCGTATAAACAATTCCACGTAACTGGCATTGTTTATTTTCTTCGTAGTAGCTTCCTTAGACTGAGAGTACTGTAAATCAAAATGCTTCAATATTATCCCTCAAATGGCTGTCTTTGGCAAACACGCTGCGATAACTTACCATTGTACTTTTCATGTTCTCTTAATACACAAGCGCCCTCCTACATATAAAACACAACCAAAGAAAATGTGTGAGAATGCCGCAGGATTATCATACATTTTGAAGTTAGAATCAGAGTGTTATTGGTGAATTTGCATTCAGATTAAGATTAGCTCCGATTTGAAAAGACTCGATTATTTGAATCGAAAATTCGAATTTGGCAACGTTTGGTGGTTCCTAGCTTCAAAACATTTGCATTGGTTTCTGGCTGACTTCTCCCAACGCTTCTTTTGGTAGTGCATTTCTGAATCGTCCAAAATTGGAGATGGGTACATGCTCAATAAAACGCAAGATGAGTCTCTCAGTTCAACTAAGTACTGCGCACGTGTGCTGCATTTATTTTAGGGCTTGTTTCAATGCATGAATTTGCATATGAAAACTTAAGTGTTCGTGATTGCACTATGTGTTTCTTTCTTCGGCATATTCCTTAACTTAACCCAATTTATAAGATCATACCATGTCCGGCAATCCAGCGTGTTCATCGATCAAGAATTGCCGGTTTGTTGCTGGCCCTGCTATTAGTTTATTGCTTACATTTGTGCTGTGCTGGGCAAGGCGGACTTTGGAGATTATGCAAAGTGAGCGTTCAACTTTTCGTGTGGGATTTCGAACTGCAAGAGCCATCTTGAAGATAATTCGATGTAGTCCACAGCCCTGCCCCTCTTAAATCTCGAAAATAGACCGTCCCAACCCTGTCCGTCGAAGATATGCAGACTATTTCGGGGAGACTGTTTCAAGGTCACCCAGGCATCCATCCTGTCATAATATCCTTATTCAAATCTTGCCTTTTCATTAGCCATGCGGTGATCAAGACCAAAAAATACTACTGTCTTGCCGTTAATACGTGGCGTTCGCGAGCACGATTTCCAGATATTACGTCCCTCATTTAGCTCTCCATGTTGTGCAAGATACAATAATGTCATCAAAACATAACGTATTGAGAAGCACATGTACTAAAGAGAGAAATTGTGTTGCTCAGAAATTGTGTTGCTTGGTACTTCGTCCTTCTGAACAGGGATGTCGACAGGGCATAGGGAAGGGACGTTTTGAAATGTTGCGGTAGAAAGAGATCTGGCATTGCAGATGTCTTTACGAGCATGTTCTTGCTTATGAAGCAGAAAAGCGCAATTTTATCAACAAGCGCGTCTGTACCAGCGTATATGTTAATTCCTGAAAAAATATATCCAGCCAAGACCCCTCTCAAAGGCTGTGTGGTTAGGATGTAGGCGCTGAGAACCTTTTTTACAGAAAGGATTCGCCCCGCAGTCATTCGCGAAATCGGCTGCTCGGGGAATACTGCGCCGGCGGGCGGCTGAATCTGCGGTGGTAGACCATCCGCCATACATGTGTGTAGAGCGGCGCAGCATCGAAAAGATAGCAAACGCATGTACGCTGGCAACACTCAAGCCGTGGTACGATCGTGGCACGCTTAC